CATATATACATATATGTGTGTGTGTGCATATATTTAGTATATATATATCATATATTCATGTAATTATGAACAAGGGCCGCCGTTATAAGGAGGCTTCTTTATCTCTCTCCATTTTCTCACAATCTCGTCTATATATACAATTTCTTCCCTCTACATGGCCTACTATTTCGCCTTTTCTCTCTATAGGTTATCATTTGTCTATAGGTTATCATTTGCCTATATTCATTTGCCTATTGCCTATAGGTTATCATTTGCCTATACAGAAGGGGCATTAATCGGGCAGCACCAACGGACATTCCGGTACCAACCAACCTTTTACTTGCCATATTGTTTCTGCGAGTGAAGAACGATTTCCTAAATGGTTTCCTACTTCTGTCAGAATCGTATTCATTTTGACAAATGTAGGAAAGGTATTTCTGACGAAGATATAATCAAAAGCGGTCAAATACATCGTGCGTCGTCATATATCACAATGCGCTTTTTGCGCATTCACTTGGCTTTCGCACTTCTTTGATCCACCGTCTGTTTTGACTGTCTCTTTCCTTTATTACTTTCGCTTTGTCTCCCTCCGCCTCTGTCTCCTTCTATGTCGCCTCTGTCTCTGTTTTTCATCGGCAGAGATGTCAGAGGGAGAAGGTAGTGGGGGAGTGGGAGAACATGAGGAGATGTCATCCTGGGTATCAGGTAGTGGGGGAGTGGGAGAACATGAGATAACAGAGGCGTTCTCATCTACAATGTTGTTAGAACGTCCCTGTCTCTCCCTCCGTCTCTGTCTCCTTCTCGATTGTCTCTGTCTCTGTCTCTGTTTTTCAGTGATATCAGTGATGCCAGAGGATGAAGATGTGGGTGGAGGAGTGGGAAGCTTGGGAGGAGAGGACTGGGCCTCCAACTCGTCTTCCCTACGTGCAGCAGCTGCCATCCGGTCTTTGAGGTCGTCGGACTGGGCCTACAACTCGTCCTCCCTACGTGCAGCAGCTCTCATCCGGTCTTTGAGGTCGTCGGACTGGGCCTCCAACTCGTCCTCCCTACGTGCAGCAGCTGCCATCCGGTCTTTGAGGTCGTCGGACTGGGCCTCCAACTCGTCCTCCCTACGTGCAGCAGCTCTCATCCAGTCTTTGAGGTCGTCGGACTGGGCCTCCAACTCGTCCTCCCTACGTGCAGCAGCTGCCATCCGGTCCTTGAGGTCGTCGGACTGGGCCTCCAACTCGTCCTCCCTACGTGCAGCAGCTGCCATCCGGTCCTTGAGGTCGTCGGACTGGGCCTCCAACTCGTCCTCCCTACGTGCAGCAGCTCATCCGGTCTTTGAGGTCGTCGGACTGGGCCTCCAACTCGTCCCCTACGTGCAGCAGCTGCCATCCGGTCTTTGAGGTCGTCGGACTGGGGTGCAGCAGCTGCCATCCGGTCTTTGAGGTCGTCGGACTGGGCCTCCAACTCGTCCTCCCTACGTGCAGCAGCTGCCATCCGGTCCTTGAGGTCGTCGGACTGGGCCTCCAACTCGTCCTCCCTACGTGCAGCAGCTGCCATCCGGTCCTTGAGGTCGTCGGACTGGGCCTCCAACTCGGCAGCTGCCTTTGCCTTCAGCGCTGAAAAAGTAAGGTAAGACAATGAACAGATTACTATAAGGCTAGAAATCCCCAAGGCAAGCATGGCCATATTGCTTTTACTCTTCTTCATTAATTTTTCCAGGTTATGAATTTTTCTTCTACTACAATTGGCCTGGTGCAGTTTGCCGTAGAGGTTGGACACGTACCATGGCTACTATTCATATAGACATGGGATAAGGAGGTCGGGTGGTGGGCGGCTGAAGGGAACTTCTTCCTTCCTCCCCATCGTCTCCTGCCTCTCTTCTCATCGTCCCCTTCTGCCTCCCTTCCCATCATCCCCTTCTGCCTCCCTTCTTCCTTCCTTCCCTTGGCTCTCGGCGTGACCCGTCCTCTCTCTCTCCCGGCGCCGGGGCTTTCCTTCCCTCGAGGCGCTGGGCGGGGTGACTCCTTTCCTCGGTCCGCCTCTGCTCTCCTCTGGGTCGCTTTTCTGGCGCGGTGACTCGTCCTCTCTCTCTGGCGCTGGGCCTTTCCTCTCCTCTAGGCCCCCTTCCTTTCCTCGCTCCGCCTCTGCACTCCTCGGGCTCGATTGCTGGCGGCGCTGTGACTCTGACTGGCGGTGGGAATTCCTCCTTGGGACTCGGCCTTTGCTTTCCTTTCTCAGGGGAAGGAGGGAGAGAGAGGGAGTGTCAGGAATTTTGTGTTTTGCCCTGATTTGGTGTATTATGGAGACACAATTCTGGTTTAGCTGTTTATTGATAGGAGGGGTTGGTAGCGTGATGCGGGCTGTGTCGTGCAGTGCAATTGTGGGCAACGGGAGCACCGGGGCGCGCCAAGCGGGGCGTGCGTGGGGAGAGACCCCAAGAGGAGGTCTGGTCAGGGCCGTGAACCCTGGTCAAGTGTGCTGCCCCGGGTCAACTGTGTTGTAGGTTTCGAGCGCTGGTCGCGGGTCCCTAGTG